ACTACAAGAGACTTGGAGTGCCCTCGGAGAATGAAGCTTTTGACCAAGTGTTTAAGAAGGAGGTGGACGCGTGGGCCCAAAAACAAGAAGCGACATCGAAGGCAGACGTTGGGAACGTAGAACTAGAAAAGGAGTTCACTGAGGACGAGGTTGAGGCGTGTGTGAACAAGCTGAAGTGCCACAAAGCAGCAGGAGCGGATGGGATAGTCAACGAGTTCATGAAGTTTGGGGGGAAGGGGATGATCCAGCTGATGGTACTGCTATACAATTGGGTGTGGAAAAACGAGTATACGCCAAGTAGATGGAGGGAAGGAGTGGTTGTGAACTTGTTCAAGAAAGGAGACAAGACTGACCCAGGAAACTACAGGGGGATCACACTGTTGAACACAGTAGGAAAAGTGTTCTGTAAGCTGTTGAACGATAGGATAGTGGGAGTATTGGAGAAGGAACATAGCATTAGTGAGGGCCAGGCAGGTTTCCGCAAGAAGAGGGGGTGCGTAGACCACGTGTTCACGGTAGGGAGAATCATCCAAGGTAGAAAGAGGGCGGGAAAGCCGACGTACTGCTTCTTCCTGGACGTGAAAAAGGCATACGACACCGTATGGAGAAATGGGTTGTGGAAACAACTGTCCAATACAGGATCAAGGGGAAATTGTGGAGGGTGCTGAAGAAGATGACAGAGTGCACGAAAAGCGCGGTCATGCTAGACGGAGAACTGTCAAAATTCTTCGACATTGAGCAGGGGGTCCCACAAGGTTGCACGCTGTCCCCAACATTGTTCCAGGTGTTCATCAACGATCTGTTGGAAGTCGTAGAGGCAGTCCGGAAGGGAGTAAAAGTAGGGGACACGGAAACGTCGGTTTCAGGAATGCTGTTTGCGGATGATTTTGTCGGTATGTCGGACACCCCTGAGGGACTGCAACTGCAAATTGACGCGGCGAAGAAGTTTACTGATAAGTGGAGATTGTCTGCCAACGTTCAGAAGAGTGCCGTCATGGTATGCAACGAGAACAAGGAGGAACCAGTAGAACATAGATGGAAGTGGGGGATCGAGGAGATTGCAGTAGTGGACCAGTACACATACCTTGGAGTAGAGATCGCAAAAGACTGCTCGTGGAATGCACACATGTCCAAGGTAGCGGAAAAGGGCAAAGCACGAGCAGGGAAGCTGCACCCAATACTCGCAAACCGGCACCTCGATACACGCATCAAATTGACGGTTTTGAAGAGCGTAATCGTACCGCCGCTAGAGTACGCCGGAGAAGTATGGGAAGGAAATAAGAAGGTAGTGAAAGAACTCGAGGCGGCGCAGATGAAAGCAGCGAAAACCATCCTAGGATGCTCCAGGCGCACAAGTAATGCAGCCGTGAGGGCAGAATTGGGGATCCAATCCCTACGGTCGGGAAGAGACGCGAGGAAGCTGACCTGGCAGTATCGCATGTGCGGGATGGGAGAGGAGAGGTTGCCGAGAATTGTATGGGAGGCGAAGTGGGCAAACAAAAAGAGGGGTAGACAACCCACGGAATGGGTCAAGGTTGTAGAGGACGTATGGAAGGGGCTCGACATCGACGAAGATGAAACGCTGGAAACGGAGGGTCTACAGGGGTTCAAGGAGAAGATATCTGTTGCTTGTGCCGAGAGAGAAGAACAGAATCTGAGGAAAGAATCCAAGGATAAGGAGGGTCTAGAAGTGTACGGAATGTTGAAGGAAGGAATAGGGTTCAAGGACTACCTACATGGACCAATGGATGCAGGAACAAAGCTTAAGGTCAAATTCAGGACCGGGGACATAGGCCTTCGAGAACGTCGACGAAGACATAGGACGGTAGACGAGGAAGACGACGAGTTCAAATGTGATTGCGGCTTCGAATGCGAAGACCGTGTTCATGTAGTCGCGGAATGTCCGTTGTACAAGAAGGAGAGGGAAGTGTACGTGACTGAGCTGGGAAAAATAGATGGAACGTACAGGGAGATGTTTGAGGCATGGAATAGAGAGGAAAGGACGGTAGCTGTACTGGGGCAAAGGAGGTGGGTTGAAAAGGCGGTAATGGATATTGTTAGGATAGACAGACTAGGAAAGACATTTTTGAGCCACCTTCGGCAAAGTAGAATGGAACGATTGGCCATGGGTGATCGGTCCTGCGGGAACAATGTTCCGTCCTCTCGAGGACGCGTGGTCAATGTCTAACCGCTAAGGCATGCAAAAACATAAGAGTACGCCCCCCCCCCCCNTGGCCATGGGTGATCGGTCCTGCGGGAACAATGTTCCGTCCTCTCGAGGACGCGTGGTCAATGTCTAACCGCTAAGGCATGCAAAACATAAGAGTACGCCCCCCCCCCTGACCCCCAGTCCTGGAGTGCACCCCGATCATTTATACATAGCCCTGCAAACCACAAAGGCACAGCAGTTTTACTTTAAAAAAAAACAATGACGTCTGAGGCTCATTTGACGCCTCTTTTCATGCGTTCAAACACGTAAACTCGGCAAAGGCAAGAAGCAGCTTGGTGCTGCGGTGAGACTTGTCGCAGAAAATCGAAACTGTTTCCCACCACCCGAACGCCCCATCGAAAGGTCCTTTCAAGGCGATCATCTCAAGTCGCGAAGCAGCAAAAACGATCAAAAGCTCTTCAGGCCCGGGGACAGCATTTCAACGTCCCCGGGGTTCCGGAAAACAGCTGTAGGCAACCCCCCCTCCCCTCCTGCTCCCCGTGGCATGATCCAAAATTACTCCCAAGAGCTGAATAAGCACAACAACATGCTATTCCTGAGATGCATATCGGCACCTAGACGCTCGAAATGCGTATGCTGACGTCTGACTCGAATAACTCATCCACCGCGTAGACTACCCCTGAAGAAACGACAACCGTAGAGCATCTAGTCTAAACATCAACGATTCGTGTCGGGGTCTGTTGCCGTCCTCGAGAAGAAACGGGGGCCGCCGGCTGCGGCGGCTGAACCAAGGGAACCACCGCCCCTCTCGGCCGTCCGGCTCCTCCTTGGACGCGAGCACCGGCCCCCACCCGTCTACCCGCCCTCCTTCCGTCTCCGCGAGCACCTGCGGGGCGGCCCTGGCCACCCTGTCCCTGGTCACGCCCGTCTTGCCCTTCCTGACGCCCGCCACAACCGCGCCCCCCAACCTCCGTTCGCGTACCCCTTTGCCCACCCCCCACGCTCATCTCTCCCCGCCCTCCACCCCTTCCCTCGCCTCGCCCCCCACTCCTCCCTGCGCCTCGCCCTCCGGCTCTCCCNGGCCTCCCCCGCTGCCCTTGCCTCTGCTCGTTCTGCCTTTGCTTTCTCAGCTGCCTCCTTCTCTTCTTCGTCCTTCCTAGCAATAGCAAGGTGTTCTTCGGCGGACAGGAGACCGCCCTCGGGCCTGCCCCCGCCCGCCCGAACGGTCGCGAAAATATTGGAGCGCTTGCTTAGGCGGGTGAGCCCGCCGAGGAACACGGTGTTGACACTGAGCCCCTCGATCATCAATCCCTGTCTTTTCAGCTCCAGGAGGGCAGCGAGGTCTTCCTCGAGCTGCTCGTTGGAGGCAACGACGGCGAGGTCGTCGGGAATAGGACGGTCATTCTCCCGTTGCTTCCTCTTGCTGTGTAGCCTGTTGATGGCCTTCTCCATGTTCACCGGCCACAAGCCCGCCCCTTTGAATGCCCCCATGTTGATCGCAGGCGTGAAGCTCCCTCTCTATGCCTCCGCAATGACGCGAGCCATGTCGCGCTTCACCGTACTCCTCCCCCCATTTTTCAGTGGGTAGGCCGTGAGCACCCTGGTGAGCTCCTTCTTGAAGGTTCCGAACGTACCGACGTCCAAGGGCTAGGTGATGTGCGATGTGTGGGATGGGAGCTGGAAGAGGTCGATGTCCAGGGACATGGCCAAGCTGATGCCGGCGAAGGTCGGGTGCGACGCGTGGCCGTCGACGACGAGGGCAACTTTGCCCTACAAGCCGCGCGCATCGAGCTGTTCGCGGAAGTCTCGAAGGTAGCCGAGGAAGACGTGGCTCTGGATGAAGGATGACTCCTTGACGGTGTACTTCGCATCGGGGACGACGTTGNGACGTCCAAGGGCTAGGTGATGTGCGATGTGTGGGATGGGAGCTGGAAGAGGTCGATGTCCAGGGAGATGGCCAAGCTAACGGCGTCGAATGTCGTGTGCGAGGCGTGGCCGTCGAGGACGAGGGAAACTTTGCGCTGCAAGCCGCGCACATCGAGCTGTTCGCGGAAGTCTCGAAGGTAGCCGAGGAAGACGTGGCTCTGGATCAAGGATGACTCCGTGACGNGCGCGCATCGAGCTGTTCGCGGAAGTCTCGAAGGTAGCCGAGGAAGACGTGGCTCTGGATGAAGGATGACTCCTTGACGGTGTACTTCGCATCGGGGACGACGTTGTTGTCCTTGATTCAAGCGGGTTGCATACGCTGGCCGTTGCAGATGATGGTAGGGTGGTAGGTGTGGCCGTCGGCGCCGATGCTGGCGACCATCGTCGTATTTCCTCGCGAGTTGGAGCGCCTGGCGCCGGGAACTTTGGTGCCTGTTGGGACGATGGCGTTCCCCGACTTTGTACCTTGCGAGGTGGAACCTACAACACACACGGGAGAACGTGCGTGCATCGGGCGTAAAGGCAGTCGAACAGTCAGTAAAACATACATACTTGGTACTTTGCAGGAGCGCTCGCACATAAAAAACAAAAACGCAAGTACACACACCTGAGCGCTGCTCGCAAGGGACGGTTGCAAGCGGTGGTGACGGGACGTTTTTTGTTGTGTGCAACAGCTGTTGGATTCGTTTAGAATTTGGGTGTGAATAAAAAACTCCACCACCAATGAAAGCTTACATGGAGCTCCAAACCAAGGTCGGCTTACAAAAACACAGCGTCCTACTGAAGTATCGGCTTGCTTACACTTCGCGCAGCGTTCAGCAACACACATGCATGTGTGGACCAATAGCGCACCCGCCCGCTGCTGCGTGTTGCACCAAAACAAAACATATGTCCTATCATGAACGAGCCCTACCATTTCTTCGGTACAGACAGTATAACTGAGATGACCACAGGGAATGCTGCAAGTTCAACCCTCACCCGGAACCAGTATCACACGGCGTTGTGTGTGCATGACAGGCGCAGCCGCACTGCAAAAAGATACCATGGTATGCGGAACAACTGCTGGGTTTTTTTTCGCAGCAGCAGCAGCAGAACTCCGCGTTGTTGTGACACATCGCAGTGCTGCTGGTACCTCACCTACGAACCCACAGCAGTCGATAATGACAACACTAGGCACCACTAGACACCAATGACACCTCAGCCCTTGCCCTAACTCACTTGTCTCATCCGTCTTAGTGATGCGGTCCGGCGTGAGCTTAGTCTCCGCGAGGTGTTCGTGTGTGTGCATATGTAGGAAGGATCTGAGGAACGGTTCTGTGTTCCGTACATGAAGGGACCCGCTGTTGTTGTTTTTGTCTTCACATTAAGAACCGTTCCGATATTTCTCTACCCAGTACCTTCTTATGTCCGTACTGATACAACACTCGACGCGGTCGATTCCCGTGGTCGCAGGCTAACTTACCCTTAAGGTACACTCAAATAAAATGGCCCCGAGGGGTCCGCAAGTCAATAGAAATCAACGCCAGATATTCTGGAGTCCTCCACTCCCTCTGCGCGCTATGCAAGGTAACAACTGAGACTAGGGGTCACCATCACGGGCCGGAGAGAATGAGGTACACCCCCTTGGTTCAATCTTGGTACTTCACAACGCAAGCAGAAACAAGGCCATCTGGCACAGAAAAGGAGGGAAAAAGAGAACCAGAGAACTTCTTCTGAAGAAGAAAAGAAAATACACAGTTTCGGACTGGGGCTCCAAATTAACTGAAATAAGGAAACAGATTTATGTTTGCTCAAGAATTCTGGATTATTTTTTCTGCAGGCAACCAAAGAAAAACCAAGACACATGAAACAAATTGGGAGCGCAGGTAAAATGCCGTCTTGCTCACAACGTTTACTTACCGGACTAACCCGTTGCAAACTTTCCAAGATTGCCCTACTATCATTACTATTGTTTCGGCCTCTGGCCTCAACATATCTTACTCCATTAGGCATGTCCGATGACCTACTCCTCCGAACCGCTCCCTGGTCACTCCTCGGGTTCCGTAAGGGCCTGAGACACAAACTTTGCTCCTTCACCCCCCGCCCTAACGTACACCATGAAAGCCGATGATTTCCACCTTCCGGCTCTCTGGATCTGAATTACCGACGCCCCCATACTCGCTAGGTGCGTGGCCCCCCCGATCCTTCCTGAATGCAACGCATACTTCTGTGGGTCTCTACCCGCCGCACTCACGAGTAACCTGAGGTGTCTCGATGCCTCTGCCCTCGAAATAACCTTCCACTTGTCTTGTGCCCACGATTGCATCAACGGCGCATGGCTCCCAAGCTCGGGGTGCAGATCTAACAGATCGAGTAACACCTTCAACGCTACTCCCGATCTTGTGACGGTTGCTCCCAAACGTTTTTGATCTGCTTTTGACGCTCTGAACGTGACTTCCACTTGGCTAGCCTGCCTCCGGTCTGCCCATGCAACCCTTACCGGACCGCTCCGAGTGCACGAGCCCCGAGTCGTCCGCCCAGATTTCTGAAGCTCGGCACATCAGCAAGTACGAGAGGGCAAGTCCACACCAGATCAACTTCCCTGATTCTCCCGAATTTTCGACCACGCANAGGCAAGTCCACACCAGATCAACTTCCCTGATTCCCGAATTTTCGGCCACGCACTTTCCAGCCTCTAGCATGTTCCATGAAAGGGGATTCCTAACCTTAGGCTTCGCCTGCGTATTGGCGTGGACCCTATCAATGGTTTTCAACATGGCAAGGATCTGGAAATGCGAAGTGGGCAACTCCCATCCTGCGTGCATCTTATGGAAGTACTTGATGGCTGAGAGATACCCGCGGATAGTCTGACTCTGGTTCTTGTGACCGAAACACCGGCAAGCCATGAACACAGACAGCTCACGCACCGCACTTTCCACCCCATCGCTCTCGCGGAGCCACGGGCCCGAACCTCCCCTGCTCGAGCCTCCTTCCACGTGTTCCACATCCTTTGATACACCTTCTTGGTACCACTTCCCAAAGACCCGAAGGTGAGTGCATTGACCAACCGCTCCCCCTCGGCGCTCGTGCCTCCCCGGCCATCCTTTCCCTGAGTTCCTGATATCCAATCATCGGGTATACACAGCGTGAGGAATGCGCACATTTCGAGGTTCCTTCCCAAGGTACGACAAGTTCATGCCGAACCCGTGGATAGCCCCGACTTGGCTTGGAGGGAGAACAGGAAAACTTGGTCGTCCAAACCAACTCTGCCTCCCCCGGCTATCCATTTCATCAAGGCGTCATGAAACAGTGAATGTGAGGCGTGTCCNCCAACCCTGCCTCCCACGGCTATCCATTTCATCAAGGCGTCATGAAACAGTGAATGTGAGGCGTGTCCACCGCTCCAGCTTCTCGCTATCTCATTTCGTATGATAATTCGTTGATCGTCCGGAACACAGAGCGGTGTCCGACCGCCCCCTCTGCCGTGTCAGATATTTTCTGTTCCTTCGACCATAATGTCCCATACCGAGTCGTCCAGACTTTCTTTCGGCAATTCCTTTTGTGGGATAATGTTGAGCAACGCTCGTCCCCCTACTCCAATATCCTGCTGTGTCCACCCTGAGTCTTTTGTGAGCATTTTCACGTTGGCGGTGATCTCATTTTCTTCCCAACGTGAGTTCCCGTCCGCAAGTGTGTTCATTCGACCAGGGATGTGCTTAGCCACGTGGCACCAGCCGCAAGAAATTTCCATCCTACCCATGAGTCTCATTATGAGGCTAGCGCGCCTGTCGCGCGACCCCCCACACCTGTTAGTCCAACTGACGGCCGACACGTTGTCTCCACGCATCAACACCGACTGCCCTTCTTCTACAGGTCTGTCTTTCAAGATCATTTGGACTACCCACGCCGTCATGAACATGCCCGCGAGTTCTAACAGATTGATCGTAATGTCTGACGTCTCCTTCTCTTGCGCCTTGCGCTTGAGCTCCGCAGACAACGATGATTCGATCGTGTATCTCCAGAAAGTCTTTAGTTCGGGACAGTAGCCGCCAATCGCTGTGAAGCTAGCGTCTGAGAGGTAAAGGCGTGAGGGTGCTCGTTTTACGTGGAGTAAGAACGATGCGCTGAGGGATTCCCCTCGAAGTGCCAGTGGCTGATTGAGGGCCCACTTCCAGAAGGCGATATCGCCGTGGAACTCTCTACCCAAGTCCACTAGTCGTCGTGACCGTGTGTGTCGACTGGCTTGCGTATGCAGACCCGATAGGCGGAGCAGTTGCCATACGAAGTACCTACCAGCCCTGATAACATAAGTGAGGTTCCACAGTTTTCCTGCAAGCAATGAGTGCCGATTGGTCAGTGGGGTCATGCTGGACCTTCGTGAGCAAGAAATCGTCAACATAGACCCTGGCCAAGAAATCGTCCGCGGGTCCTCCGCCTCTATGCGGCCTGACGCCTGCCGACGAGGGTATTGAGGTTGGGGTGCCTTTTTCCCAAGGAGGTTTTATTTTCACGTGAGACATCATTGCGATTCCTTCTGGTAGTAGTCAAGCGTTCGGGAGGGACGTGTTGCGGTGCGAGTGCTCTGCAGCGGAGGCTAACACACCCCACAATCCTGGTGACGCTGCCCAGCCAAAGGTCAGCCTTAGATCCGCTACTAGCACGTCTCCTATCACGTAGCAAAAGTTGTGTGCATGATCTGGTGATATCCTCACATTTCTGAACGCAGAGGTGACATCAGCCTTGGCTGCGAGAATTCTCTTGTCGGGCCATCTTACTCGTAGGCTAGTGAGCTCCTCGAGGAAAGCTGGTAGTGCTTCGCCGCACAGGCACCGTGGAACTCCAGACATAATGGTATCTTTGTTGAGCCCACCTTTTGACCCCTTACTATTGCTTGGGTCAAACGAGAAGTCGTTGATGATCCTCACTCTTTTCCCTGGGACCGCTCGCAACGGGGCTACTCTCATCCCACGTACGTCCGACGCGTTCGCCTATCTCAGGACGATACACACACCTGTTACGCTTGACATCTTCGCATAGTTTTTTCCCACACTTGTGTTTGGTGGTCGTCTACGCTACGGTGGTTGCCGTATGCCAAGGCTTTCTTAAGGTTTTGCTGCGAGTCTAGGGTGGAGGCCGGGGCTCCTTCACCGACCATCTCGATGAGGTCATCGATACCCGGGAAGCCCATCTCCTCTCCGAAATACTGCTTGACGTCGCTCACGTTCAACGGCGGTGACACCAAAGTGCCGCCGATTCCCCTCGCGACGTCTCCCAGCCTTCCATCGTGGAGCTTTACCAGATCACTACCAATGTCCGCCATTTTCCGAATGATACATTGCTTCTCGTCTAGTGAGTGTATGCTTGACGCGAGTATGCTTCTCTGTACCTCGAGTCTATCAGTCAGAGTTTTTGAACTTTTCGACAAGGTTGTATTTTTTGGACTCTCTAGGGCCGAAGGTTCTTTCCCCGCCCCAAAGTGAGAAGTCGCTGAATTCGACCCGCAATCATGTCGCATTACTTTTGTGATGTCAGCGGCCCTAGCAGTGTCCGCCGCTAGTGCCCTACTTGCCAACAGGGCTTCCCCCGGGGTGTCCGCCCCCGGGAGAGCTTTTGACACGGTCATAGTGTCCGCCAATTTCGTGTCGTTCCCGCGAATGGTGTCCGCCAATCGGGGCTGTGTGACTGACAAATTCTTACGCAGGGTGTCCGCCCTGTGTATGTCCTTCTGCACACTACTGGTGTCCGCCAGTATTTTTTGTTTACCGACAACGCTCGCGGCGTCCACCGCTTGCGTGCCTCGGGGCCAATTACATTCGCCCGGGGTGTCCGCCCCGGAGGCGACTGCGTTGCAGTGTTCAGCACGTGTGGTGTCCGCCACAGTCTTCGTGGTGTACAAGGCAGAGCAGTAATTGATCCCGCTATTGGTGTCCGCCAATAAGTATTCCCTTAATGGATTTTTCGCGGGAACGGCGTCCACCGTTTGCGAGAGTGAGGGTAATGCTTGTTCACACCGGGTGTCCGCCCGGTGTGTGTCAGTATTCGCACAATTGGTGTCCGCCAATAGTTTTGACTTATCTATCACCCGTGCGTTGTCCTCCGCTTGTGTGTTATTTGACCCGTACTTAGCGCCGAGGGTGTCCGCCCCCGTAGCTGCTGTTTGTGACGTTTCGGCGTGAGTGGTGTCCGCCACTATGCAAGGCGAAAACGAATCCAAACAGTTAACAGTATGGGAAATTACAGGTTCGCAACTCATGCGCTCACCGTAATACACAGCGGGTGCCGCCGACCCGGGAAGGGGAACTCCCACGCTCGCTACTGTCCTTCTGCCGTCAGCGAAGGCGTTCGCCCCCGTGCCAAGCTCGCCACCCCCCCTTGTCGGCCCCACCTCGTGAAAGTGGGGCCCGCACCGTCACGGATTGGTACCGCCACGGCCTCCTCCCGCACTCCCTCCACCTCCTCCTCCTCCCGCTGCTCCTCCTCCTCGGCCGCCTCCGTGGCTGTACCTCGCGACTGGTGCTTGTGTCGCTCTCGGGGCACGGGGGGCACGAGCGGGCGGAGCGGGCGGAGGGGGGGGAGGGGGAGGAACAGCAGGCAAGAGTGACGGGTGCCGCTGGGTGTGCCCCTTCTCGCACTGCGGGCGTGTGCAGGTCGTGCCCGACCACGTGTAGAAGCACTCGTTGTTGGGAGTGTTCCAGGCGGCGACGGTCTGTGCAAACGCGGTGGCGGCTGCCGTGGAAGCGGATGGGACTGGGGCCACGGGGGCGCGTGCAGGGTGACCCTGCGAAGTCGCCTTGCGCTTGGTGCTCGCGGACGACGGTTTTGACTGTTGTTGACGGGCTAGACCCCCCTGCAGGAGACCCACCATCGAAGAAGCCGTACCCTCCGCAATCAGGACCAACGTCCTTGAGAACTGCGGAACTTGGATCGCCCCCACCGTATTGGGGGGTGGGGGGGCCAGGGTGTTGCGCTGCCGGAGCGCCCTAGCTTCGGTGGTCAGACGACTGACGAAATCGGCCCAATCGAGGTTGGCGTCTTGCTTGAACCTGGCGAAGACGTCGCCTCGCGGCCCTTGAACTCGGCGCAGTGGCGGTACCGGCGGAGGTCCTCGGAGATCCTGAGGAGTTCCCGGAAAAACAGGCCAACTCGGTCGGCCCCGGCCGGAGAGGCGCCCGCCATGCCGTCCTTGATGAACACTTCCAGGACGCGAATGAAGGTGTCGAGGTGCACGTCGAACGTGCGTGTCACCGCCGCTACCCCCGGGGGGCGCGGCGGCGAGAACGCCGCGATGTCGATGGCGCTGAAGGTAAGCAGCGCGTGCAGGCCCGGGTGCGGGTGGGCCACGTCCCGAATGATGTTGTCTAGCTCGCCCCCCGTCATGACGATAGGCGAGAAGGTAGCGCCTCGCATTAGGTACAAGGCCGCTTGGCCAACCTTCTCCCACGTGCGGCCCTCCAGCTGTTGGGCTTCTTTCAGTCGATGGGCATTGTATACAGGCGGGGCCCCCGGGATGCTCGCGAGCTGTTGGTATCCCTGGGGCGCGGCCGACTGGTGGTAGTGCTGGCTGGGGTAGGCCTGGAGTTGTTGGTGTTGATACTGTTGTTGCAGCGGTTGCGACTGCGGCGGCTGCTGCTGCTGGTGAGGTTGTTCCTGCGGCTGCTGCAGTTGCTGCTGCTGCTGCTGCTGCGGCTGCTGCTGCTGCTGCTGCTGTGGCGGCGGCACTTGGACCAGGGGGAGGACTACTGACTGGCTATTGTCGGGGGCGGAGCCGCCCTGTGCATTGTTGTGGGCCGCGGCGCCCTGCGCGGGCTGCCGGTTGCCGGTCAAGTTTACCACAACCTCCTGGAGAGACCGGATCTGTTGTTGCTGGCGGTGGCCCTGATTGACGAGCTGTTGCAGCAGCGACAAGAGGTTCGGATTGTTCCCGGCTCCTTGCTGCTGCTGCTGCTGCTGGGGCTGCTGCTGCTGCTGCTGCTGCTGCTGTTGCATCAGCTGAGGTTGGGGGGCTCCGGGGATCATGGGCGGCGGCGGCGGAATTGCTGCCGCCGGACCGCCGGCGTTTGGATGCTGCGGTTGGCCATGCTGGTGTCCCTGCTGCTGCTGCTGCTGCTGCTGCGCCTGACTCTGCTGCTGCTGCGGCTGCGGCTGCGGCTGCTGCGGCTGCGGCTGCTGTTGTTGTTGTTGTTGCTGCGGCTGCGTGTTTTGGTCGCCCCCGCCTCCGGCAGCTGAATTTGGAGGACTGCCGTGCCCCGAGTTGCCTTGAATGGCCGCCGCGGCGCCCGCCGCGGCGCTCGCGCTCGCCGGTTGCCCATCATTGCCGTCCATCCCAAAATCGATCAAATCCTAGGCGGCACTCCGTGTTTGCTGCTCCTCAAAGCTGCTATCTCTGCTACTCCTCTCCTTCTCTCAAATACACTTGCTTGTCTCTCGCCCAGCGAGAGCACAAAAACTTTCTGACACCAGCAGGGCTGTCTCTATTTTTCTTCGATCCCCGCTTTTCCGAATTCCAACACGCCTCCACAAGCCACAGATTCAAATACGTACTGAATCTTCACGTTTTGAGTTAAGAAAGTTTCCTGGAAACTTCCTGCAGGCGAATATTTTCCGATTTAAGGTCTGCAGGCAGGGGCGAAAATGATTGGCCGGGGTGGACAGTGGCCTGACAGTCCCCCTCCTTCTGTGGCTGCTTGCTGCCCTGCTGCGGGAACAGCTGTCTCTTGACAGAAGAGCGCTCTGCAGCGCTCACACTGTTGAATGTGTGGCCGAGGCTACCATGTCCCGTCTACGTATTCGCGAACGAATCGAGCGCGAAAAACGTGCGTCGGTCATGCTTCGATGCCGTAATCTATTCGAAGTCTACACCGATATATGGTTCGTGTACAACATCGCTTTCATCTACTACGCGATGGCCCGTCTGGAACTCGACGACACGCCCACAAGTATCGCACGTAGGGACGTGACAGCATTCTTCAGCCCACAGGACTGCGTCAGCTTTCTACGTTTCAAGCAGTCGCAAGTGAGTGCATGTCGCAGCTAAATATTATGTCGTTGCTGTGGCTTGGACATGTGTACTCCGGCTATCAGCAGCAGCAGTGTGTATGTCAGTATGTCGTTCAACAGCAGTANCGAAGTCTACACCGATATATGGTTCGTGTACAACATCGCTTTCATCTACTACGCGATGGCCCGTCTGGAACTCGACGACACGCCCACAAGTATCGCACGTAGGGACGTGACAGCATTCTTCAGCCCACAGGACTGCGTCAGCTTTCTACGTTTCACGCAATCGCAAGTGAGTGCATGTCGCAGCTAAATATTATGTCGTTGCTGTGGCTTGGACATGTGTACTCCGGCTATCAGCAGCAGCAGTGTGTATGTCAGTATGTCGTTCAACAGCAGTAGCAGTATGTCAGCATCCCNTGGTTTTCGGGCTGAGCGAATCGTGTATCTGCGAAGCCTTCAACTGGATGTTGCATTTTCTAGACTTCAGGTGGGGGTATCTGCTGTCCCTCGACGTGGCACGCCTGCAGCTGCACCTGATCGAGTTTGCGGAAGCAATCTTCAACTCCTGCTGTCGCCTCACTCACTGTTGGGGATTTATCGATGGCACCGTGCGTGGCATTGCAAGGTGAACTCCGACTCAACGGATTCTGGCGTTTTGGTACATACCGCAGACAG